TAGCTGGGATTACAGGCATGCACCACCATGCCCAGCTGATTTTTTGTATTTTTAGTAGAGACGGGGTTTCACCGTGTTGACCAGGATGGTCTAGATCTCTTGACCTCGTGATCCACCTGCCTCGGCCTCCCAAAGTGCTGGGATTACAGGCTTGATTGAGCCACTGCGCCCGGCCCGATATTCTAGGTTTTAAACAAGCCTTGTGGGGAGACATGTTCCCCTTGCTGCTGAGTGGTCAGCCTTCTCTTTCGTGCGTTCCTGCAGGAATACCTCAATAGCATTCTCCAGCATGCCAAGGATTTCAAGGAATATCACAGATCGGTCACAGGCAAAATTCAGAAGCTCACCAAGGCAGTGGCCACTTACCACGCCAACACGGAGCGGGAGCAGAAGAAAGAGAATGAGCGGATCGAGAAGGAGCGCATGCGGAGGCTCATGGTATGGTCCACCTTCTTGATGTGTGTCCTTCTACACATGTACCTGGTGTTGTGGGCTCCAGGGATTGCTCGCCCAGGGTTACCTCAAGTCATTTCACAGCTTGGAGTTAGAGGTGGGGCGGAGGGAAAGAGCAGGCATAGACTTGGTAGTCAGTCCTGGGCTCGGATCTTTTTATCTTTGCTGATCCCTCTGACCATCAGAGTGACTGTGACCTGAGGCCACTTAGCCATCTCCTCTGCCTTCTCTGGAAAGTGCAAGTGGTGCCCCCTCCTCTGGTTCTGTAAAAGCCACAGGTGGTGCAATCCAGCTCCCCCACTGCTAGGATAAACATCTCTGAGTATTTGTGGCCAAGTCGCTGGCTGGACAGATATTGACAGCATGCTCTGGGACAGGCACTGCTCTGTGTGTGGGGGACACAGAAGAGAGCAGGATACTTTCCTGCCCTTGTTGGGGCTCCTGCTTGTGCTTGAGGGGGAGATACTCAAATGAAACAGAGTAGTGGATGGTGACAGCTGAAGTGAGGAGGGTGAAGTGGATAATGGAGAGGGACAGGGTAGTAAGTGAAGGCCTCAGAACAGAGGCCCCGAAGGGTGGCCCTGATGCACAAATGCAGAGAGGCAGGAGAGGAACCCGAGGCAGTGGGGAACAAAGACTGAGGTGGCAGGCAGCCACATGCCAGGGACAGCCGGTAACCCTGGGCTCCCAGAACAGCATCATGTTGGAGGAAGTGAGGTCAGAGCTCACAGGGTCAGGTGGGACGTGGGACATTTCAGACCATTGGGAGAACTCTGGATTGAATTCTGATCATGAAGGGGAGCCCCACCTGGGAGGGTTTTGGCCATGGGATGACGTGATCTAATGTATTCTTAGAAAGTTGGGGCTTGCTGTGTGCGTTATTGAGAGGGATGTGTCTTGGACTTGGTGGAGAGAAGGCTTTGGATTTGGGGTGTGTTTCGTGGGCAGAGAGGACAGGACTGGCTGATGGCCTCTGTAAATGGCTCCTGGCGGGATTGTCTGCCTAGCAGGTGCCCTTGGAACCTAGCCCTTGGTAGGTTTTGAGGAAATGGTTCCTGAATGGGGAGTCGATTGCTGTGTGAAGGGCCGGCGGCACGCCACCCGCATGAGCCACGCACGCCTTCAGTGCCCCTCGGGGTTTGCCAGCTGTGGGTGTTCACAGACCTGCACGTTGCACCACCACACTGCCGTAACCCCCACGCTTCTGTAGGCTGAAGATGAGGAGGGGTATCGCAAGCTCATCGACCAGAAGAAGGACAAGCGCCTGGCCTACCTCTTGCAGCAGACAGACGAGTACGTGGCTAACCTCACAGAGCTGGTGCGGCAGCACAAGGCCGCTCAGGTCGCCAAGGAAAAAAAGAAGAAAAAGAAAAAGAAGGTGTGTTGGGCCTGACATGGTGCCTGCTTCAGAGTGGGATGGGGGCGGCCATCTTCGCCTGTGTAGCCTCCACCTGGCGGATCAGGGCCTGATCGTGTCTCTCTATTTCCAGAAGGCAGAAAACGCAGAAGGACAGACACCTGCTATTGGGCCGGATGGTGAGGTGAGGAAGCAGGATTTCTTGTGGAAGTACCAACCCAGCCCCGAGGCTCTGGTTTGTTTCAAACTTTAAAACCTGTATTCTTTTAAAATGACGAACAACGATATATGATGGTGGTGAGAATCCCAGCGTGTCCTCTGACCCCCATCCCACCCGCCCCTCAATCCCACATGCTGTGTTTTCTCCAAGGCCTTTTTCTATGCATTTGATGCATTATTCATCTTTCAGGTTTTACTGTAATGTCCGACCTGCAGGAGAGGCACAAGGACCGTCCAGAGATGTCCTGTGTGTTCTTTACCCAGAGTTTCCATTTTCAAGTTTTGTGTGTTGCTTTTTTTTTCTTTTTATTCTTATTTCTTATTTGTGTTTTGTTTTGTTTCTTTGAGACAGAGTCTTTCTGTCACCCAGGCTGGACTGCAGTGGCTCACAGCTAGCTAACTGCAGCCTCAACCTCCTGGGCTCAAGTGATCCTACCCTTCCGAGTAGCTGGGACTATAGGCATGCCCCACCACACCCAGCTTTTTGTTTTGTTTTGTTTTGTTTTTGAGATGGAGTTTTGCTCTTTTGCCCACGCTAGAGTGAAGTGGCGAAATCTCGGCTCTCTGCAGCCTCCATCCCCCGAGTGCAAGCAATTCTCTTGCCTCAGCCTCCTGAGTAGCTGGGATTATAGGCATCCACCACCACACCTTTTTTTTTTTGCCCACGCTAGAGTGAAGTGGCGAAATCTCGGCTCTCTGCAGCCTCCATCCCCCGAGTGCAAGCAATTCTCTTGCCTCAGCCTCCTGAGTAGCTGGGATTATAGGCATCCACCACCAAGCCTGGCTGATTTTTGTATTTTTTTGAGACGGAGTTTCGCTCTTGTTACCCAGGCTGGAGTGCAATGGCGCGATCTCGGCTCACCGCAACCTCCGCCTCCTGGGTTCAGGCAATTCTCCTGCCTCAGCCTCCTGAGTCGCTGGGATTACAGGCACACGCCACCATGCCCAGCTAATTTTTTGTATTTTTAGTAGAGACGGGGTTTCACCGTGTTGACCAGGATGGTCTCGATCTCTTGACCTCGTGATCCACCCGCCTTGGCCTCCCAAAGTGCTGGGATTACAGGCTTGAGCCACCGCGCCCGGCCTGATTTTTGTATTTTTAATAGAGACAGCGTCTCACGTTGTTGGCCAGGCTGGTCTCGAACTCCTGACCTCGTATTCCGTCTGCCTCGGCCGCCCAAAGTGCTGGGATTACAGGCATGAGCCACCACGCCCTGCCAGCTTTGATCTTAAATAACTCCTTGTGTGTGTGCGGGGGCTCGGGGGGAAGTTTGCATAGATGGGGTCTCGCCATGTTTCCCAGGCTGGTCTCGAACTCCTGGGCTCAAGTGATTCTCCCACCTTGGTCTTCCAAAGGCTGTGATTACAGGTGTGAGCCACCATGCTTGTCTTCAGGCCAGCTGTGTCACCCAGTGGCTCTAGATTGTGGTTTGTCTAATGTTCCTTGTGATTAGATTCAGGTTATGTGTCTCTGGCAGGCAGACCTCTACCATGGCCCTGGATCCCTTTCAGGGCATCAGGGAGTGCATGGCGTAGGTTCATAAACAAGGTCACTGGTGATGCTGACTTTGAACCCTTGGTGTCTGCCAAGAGATCCACCACTGTCCAGTTACTGTTTTTTTCTTTTGTACTCAGTAAGTAGGGAGATACTTGAGACTTTGTAACTGTGTTGTAACTCCTCAAAATTCGAGCTAATCCCCCTTTTAGTATCTTTTTTTTTTTCCCTGTATCTGTTTTTGCTGTGTTTGTTTCAGGATGATGATTTTTAGTTCCATTGTTCCTTCTGCATTGATATATTTGTTTTTCCATAGTAGAAAAACCTTTCTCTTTACTCCTGTTTGACCTGTGGGCCATGGCCTGCCAACCCCTGGTGTAGACTCATGGATTCTTGTTTAAAACGTCGAATGAATGGATTCTAATCCTGTAAAATGATTTCTTTTGGTGATTAAGGTTTAGCCAGTAGTTGCTCCTTGACATTGGCCCCTGTTTGCTTTTGGCGTATGCCTACCATCCCTGCAGCACTTCCTTCCTCACAAGGCTTAGCTTCTGCTTTCCCTGCTGAGCCGCCTGGAGCCAGCCAAGACTCCAGGGAGTCTTCGTTCCCTTTATTTTTTTTTGAGACGGAGTCTCGCTGCATTGCCAGGCTGGAGTGCAGTGACATGATCTTGGCTCACTGCAACCTCTGCCTTCAGGTTCTAGCGATTCCAGCTGGGACTACAGGTGTGCGCCACCACACCCAGCTAATTTTTATATTTTTAGTAGAGACGGGGTTTCATCATGTTGGCCAGGATGGTCTTAATCTCTTGACCTTGTGATCTACCCACCTTGGCCTCCCAAAGTACTGGGATTACAGACGGGAGCCACCACGACGGGCCTTTTTTTTTTTTTTCTTCCAAGACGCGGTCTCCTTGTGTCACCTAGGCTGGAGTGTGTGGCTGGTGCGATCATGGGTCACTGTAGCCTCAACCTCCTGGACTGAAGTGATCCTCCCACCTCAGCCTTCTCAATAGCTGTGGCTACAGTCACATGCCACCATGCCTGGCTATGTTTTCTGTATTTTTTGTAGAGACAGGGTTTCGGCATGTTGCCCATGCTGGTCTCGAACTCCTGAGCTCAAGCGACCTGCCTGCCTTAGCCTCCCAAAGTGCTAGGATTGCAGGGATGAGCCACTGTGCCAGCTAGATATCCTTTTATTACAGAATAATATTTAGATGCCAAGATCTGACTTTGAGGGTGCCCCCTTCTAGTGGGACATCATTGCCTCTAGGCCCGCTCAGCAGCCAGATCTGGGAAATAGTTGAGTATCTGCATTATTCCTTGTATATATTAAAACTCTTGTCTGAGCATGGTGGCTCATGCCTGTATTCCCAGTACTTTGGAAGGCCAAAGTGGGAGGATCACTTGAGTCCAAGAGTTTGAGGCTGCAGTGAGCTGTGATCTCACCATTGCACTCCTGCCTGGTCAAGACAGTGAGACCCTATCTCAAAAAAAATCTTGAGGTTATACTGACACCTCCCAATTTTAATCCAACAGCACAGGGTTAATTTTATCCTTTCCCCCATTCCGTAATTCTAAAATCAGGAACCTGATTTCCATTAGCAGCAATAGGGTTACTTATCTGCTCCATGCTAGAATACATAGAAAGTACATTCCACAGTGCTAATGGGCACCTCTATGCAGAAGCCTCCTAGCTAGAGTCCAGTGTTTATAGAGTTCCTCCACCCCAGGGTATATGGTCCAAATACTGTGTTCAGAAGTTTTTGGGGCTGCATGCGGTGGCTCACGCCTGTAAACTCAGCACTTTGGGAGGCCAAGGAGGGTGGATCACCTGAGGTCAAGAGTTCAAGACCAGCCTGGCCAACATAGTGAAACCCCATCTCTACTAAAAGATACAAAAAATTAGCCGAGCATGGTGATGCACACCTTGTACTCCCAGCTACTTGGGAGGCTGAGGCAGGAGAATCACTTGAACCTGGGAGGTGGAGGTTGCAGTGAGTCAGGTTCACAGCCACTGCGCTCCAGCCTGGGTGACAGAGACAGATTCTGTCTCAAAAAAAGAAGTTACCTGGGGCCAGTCGTGGTGGCTCACACCTGTAATCCCAGCAGTTTGGGATGCTGAGGTAGGTGGATCGCTTGAGCCCAGGAGTTTGAAAACAGCCTGAGCAATGTAGTGAAACCTTATCTCTACAAAAAATTGGCTAGTCTTGGTGGCACACACCTGTTGTTCCAGCTGCTTGAAAGGCTGAGGTGGGAGGATCACTTGAGCCCAGGAGGTCCAGGATGCAGTGTATTGCATTTCTATTACTGCACTCCAGCCTGGGGAGCTTTTTGTTATTATTACTTCAGACAGAGTCTCTGTCAGCCAGTTCTGTGTCACAGTTCTAGAGCCATCTGGAGGACTCAAGAAAAATGTCATCAAGTGGGAGAGTGCAGCTCAGGAACTTGTGCTCAGTCCTGCTGTGGCTGCTCGTCCTGTTAAGAGTTGATAACAGGCACTGACACTTGCTGCTGGTGGTGGATTTTCCTTGTTCTCAGCCAGTGGTACTCAGACTCTGTTGTATGTTCTAGTCACCTGGGGAGCGCTCTGTTGTTGTTATTACTATCATTTGAGACAGGGTGTCTTTCTCTCTCTCTGTTGCCCAGGCTGGAGTCCAGTGGTGAGGTCATGGTTTACAACAGCCTCGACATCCTGGGCTCAAGTGATCCTCCAGGGAGCTTTTTCTAAGTAGTAGCAGGGTGTGAAGTCATGTGCCTGTAGTTGCAGCTGCTCAGGAGGCTGAGATGGGAGGATTGCTAGAGTCCAGAAATTCAAGGCCAGCCTGGGCAACATAGGGAGACTCTGTCTCTACAAAAAATAAAATAATTTCCTGGGCATGGTGTTGTGTACTTGTGGTCTCAGCTGCTTGGGAGCTAGAGGTAAGAGGATCACTTGAGCCTGGGGTTTTTTTTTTTTTTTTTTTTTTTGAGACGGAGTTTCACTCTTGTTATCCAGGCTGGAGTGCAATGGCGCGATCTCGGCTCACTGCAACCTCCGCCTCCTGAGTTCAGGCAATTCTCCTGCCTCAACCTCCTGAGTAGCTGGGATTACAGGCATGCGCCACCATACCCAGCTAACGTTGTGTATTTTTAGTAGAGATGGGGTTTCACCATTTTGACCAGGATGGTCTCGATCTCTTGACCTTATGATCCACCCACCTCGGCCTCCCAAAGTGCTGGGATTACAGACTTGAGCCACTGTGCCCGGCGAGCCTGGGGCTTTGAGACTATGATTACACCTGTGAATGACCAGTATAACGAGCCTGTGTAATATAGTGAGACCTATCTCCAAAAAATATAAAGTAAATTAAAAATTTTAAAAAAGTGAGGATGCTCAAGCCTCACTCCAGAGCAGTTCAATCAGAGTTTTGGGTGTGGGGGAAGCATTTCACAATCAGCATCTTTGACTGCTTCCCCCAGTGATCCCAGAGAGAATGCAGAGTTGAAAGTCCCCAATTGAGGCAGCCTGCAGAGCCCATTGTTGGGGTAAGGGGTTGCTGTGACCCTTTGTGGTGGCTGCTCTGAGAGTGACCTTTAACGTGTAGAGACTGATTGATATCCCTCCACTCTGTGGAAGGCTTTGACAGTGAGTGTAGTAGTTTTGCAGGTAGTTACAAATTTCTGGAAGATAAAAACCAAAATTTAAACCAAGAACTTTGTCCTCATTCTGGAAGTTTTCTCTAGGAAATATAAAAGAATCAATGGGCCGGGCGTGGTGGCTCACGCCTGTAATCCAGGCACTTTGGAGGCCAAAGTGGGTGGATCACCTGAGGTCAGGAGTTCAAGACCAGCCTGACCAACATGGTGAAACCCCATCTAAAAAAAAAAAAAAAGAATCAAGGAGGAAATGTTATGTTTATCCATTGAATATCAGCAGGTGGAGTTTCATATTTGTTGCTAAAAGGAACTTATTTTTGAAATATTCCAGTTAGCTTTTTAACAAATAAATGAGGACTCCTGATGAAATCTACAAATAGAGTATAAGTTGGGTAAAATAAAATCAAGACCCAAAGAATGTGAATTAGTATAGCCGTAAGTATAAAAAACAGGGAGAAAGTGGAAACATCTGAGTCCTTGTTTCTTTTTTTTTTTTTTGAGACGGAGTTTCACTCTTGTTACCCAGGCTGGAGTGCAATGGCGCGATCTCAGCTCACCGCAACCTCCGCCTCCTGGGTTCAGGCAATTCTCCTGCCTCAGCCTCCTGAGTAGCTGGGATTACAGGCATGCGCCGCCATGCCCAGCTAATTTTCTGTATTTTTAGTAGAGACGGGGTTTCACCATGTTGACCAGGATGGTCTCGATCTCTTGACCTCGTGATCCACCTGCTTCGGCCTCCCAAAGTGCTGGGATTACAGGCGTGAGCCACCGCGCCCGGCGAGTCCTTGTTTTTTACCCATGGAATTGATCTGGAAGGATGTACAGGAATCGGATACCAGTGGACGCCTCTGAAGAGAAAAACTTAGGCTGGAGAACAGGAGAAGGGGGAGCACCCACGTTATACTCTTCAGTTTTCTTTAAAAAAAAAAAAAAAAAAATGGGCTGGGCATAGTAGTCATGCCTGGAATCCCAACACTTTGTGAAGCCAGGGCAGGTGGGTCACATGAAACCAGGAGTTTGAGACCAGCCTGGCCCGAATTTTCAACTGTGTGACTGTCTGGACTGTTTGAAAATTACAATGTACATGTCAGTTACCTTAAAGAAACAAGTGCCGCTTAGTCAAGATTCATGGGTTATATATTTTTACTGAATTACTGAATGTACAGTTTGTCCATTGTCACCACCACTGGCCATGTTTGCATGTATTTAGAGGTGAGTGTATAGAGTTGAGTGGGCAGTTCCCACCCTGACCTCTGTAAACCGTTGATCTGAAGGCCCTGCAACCTCAATGTCATATGGATGACTCTTTTTTAGCCTCTGGATGAGACCAGCCAGATGAGCGACCTCCCGGTGAAAGTGATCCACGTGGAGAGCGGGAAGATCCTCACGGGCACAGACGCCCCCAAAGCTGGGCAACTGGAGGCCTGGCTGGAAATGAACCCGGGGTGAGTTGGGCCTTTCATTCCAGACAGTTGGGATCCCAAGTCCTCAGTGGGCCTTATTCCAGGGAGGTGGCAGCTAGGGGTGATTTTACTTTTATTTGGATCCCTGGCTGGTTTGCTAGGAAAAGTGAATTCTGCTGGGTCTGAGCCGATTTATATGAAAGCCCTTATATTTTTTTCTAGGTATGAGGTAGCTCCGAGGTCTGATAGTGAAGAAAGTGGCTCAGAAGAAGAGGAAGAGGTAAGAGTGCATTTCCTGGCTCTTTCAAAGCTCCCAGTGCCCGCTGGCAGTGACTTCTACCCTGTGTGCTGTGACCCCCTTCTGCCCTGGCTTGGCGTCTTGCAGGGCAGGGAACAGCTGAGGCCCAGGCCTGGCTGAAGTCGGTGCTTTAGAGCTGTGTTATCCAGTAGGTCAGCTTTTGGTGACATGTCGCTGTTTCCATTTTAAATTAAATCAGTTGCATTACATTTAAAAAAAAAAAAAAAAACTCAGCTAATTTTTTTGTATTTTTAGTAGAGACAGGGTTTCACCATGTTAGCCAGGATGGTTTTGACCTCCTAACCTTGTGATCCGCCTGCCTTGGCCTCTCAAAATGCTGAAATTGCAGGTGTGAGCCACTTTTTTTTTTTTTTTTTTGAGACTTCACCTGGAGTGCAATGGCGCGATCTTGGCTCACTGCAACCTTTGCCTCCCAGGTTCAAGTGGTTCTCCTGCCATAGCCTCCGGAGTAGCTGAGATTACAGGTGCCTGCCACACACTTGTCTTATTTTCAAAATATTTTTAGTAGAGATGGGGTTCCACCAGGTTGGCCAGGCTGGTCTCGAACTACTGACTTCAGGTTATCCACCCATCTGAGCCTCCCAAAGTACTGGGATTACAGGTGTGAGCCAGCGTGTCTGGCCTCCAGTGTTATTTCTTGTTTTAAAGTCTGTTCTGTCTTCGTCACTCTAGCCTCTTGTGGTTATTGTTTGCATGGTACATCTTTTCCCATTCTTTTACTTTCAACCTGTTTCTTTGAATCTAAAACAGCATATGGGTTTTGCATTTTCAGCTAGTATGATAGTGACTGCTTTTTGACTGAGTTTCTAAGACCATTTATATTTACTGTAATTTCTGATGTGATTGGGCTTACATTTCCTGTTTCTTTTCTATGTGTCTCCTGATTTTGTTTCTCCTTTACTGCTTTCTTTCGTGCTTAATATTATTTTTTAGTGTACCATTTTGTTTTTTTTAGATTCTTATTTTTACAGTGCCTTTTTTTTTCTTTGATAGTGAGTCTCAGTCTGTCGCCCAGGCTGGAGTGCAGTGGTGCAATCTCGGATCACTGCAGCCTCCACCGCCCGGGTTCAAGTGATTCTCCTGCCTCAGCCCCCTGAGTGGCTGGGACTACAGGTTCATGCCACCACACCTGGCTAATTTTTTTGGTGTTTTTAATAGAGATGGGGTTTCACTGTGTTGGCCAGGATGGTCTCCATCTCCTGAGCTCTTGATCCGCCTGCCTTGGCCTCCCAAAGTGCTCGGATTACGGGTGTGAGCCACCACGCCAGGCCTGCGGTATGCATCTTAACTTACCACAGTGTACATCAGATTAATGCTAACTTAATTCGAGTAAAATAAATTTTGCTCCAGTGTAACTCTATTCTCTCCCCTTTCCTTTGTGCTGTTATGGTCACAGCTTTACCTCTCTGTATAGAATAAACCCTGCAGTACAGTCTTAAAATCAGCATTTTACACAATCTGTTGATTTTAAAGATGTTAGTAGAGAACAAATAAGGGAAGATATATTTATAGAACCTTCTATACTGGGCCGGGTGCAGTGGCTCACGCCTATAATCCCAGCACTTTGGAAGGCCGAGGCAGGTGGATCACAAGGTCAAGAGATCGAGACCATCCTGGTCAACATGATGAAATCCCATCTCTACTAAAAATACAAAAAAAATTAGCTGGGCATGGTGGCACATGCCTGTAGTCCCAGCTACTCAGGAGGCTGAGGCTGGAGAATTGCTTGAACCCAGGAGGCGGAGGTTGCAGTGAGCCGAGATCGCACCATTGTACTCCAGCCTGGGCAGCAAGAGTGAAACTCCATCTCAAAAAAAAAAAGGAAGAATCTCCTATACTGTAGTTAGAATTTTCAGTGTTTTTTATTTCATCCTGTAATTTGCACTGTTGTCTACTTTTGTGCCCTTTTTTAGTTTAGAAGATTTCTTATAATAATTTTTCTTTTTTGGGACGGAGTCTTGCTCTGTCTCAGGCTGGAGGGCAGTGGTGAGATCTCAGCTCACTACAGTCTCCACCTCCTGGGTTCAAGTGATTCTCCTACCTCAGCCTCATGAGTAGCTGAGATTACAGGTGTATACCTCCATGCCTGGCTAATTTGTGTATTTTTAGTAGATACAGGGTGTCACTGTGTTGGCCAGGCTGGTCTCGAACATCTGGCCTCAGGTGATCTGCCTGCCTCGGCCTCCCAAAGTGCTGGGATAATATTTTTTCATAAGGCATGTCTGCTAGCAATACTTTCTGTCAATCCATTTGCATCTTGGAAAGATTGGATCTCTTTAGCCTTCATTTTGGGAAGGGTAGGTTTGCTGAACATAGAATTCTCATTTGAGAGGCTGGTTTTTGTTTTCCTTTTAGCACTTTGAACATGTCATTCTGCTCCTTTCTGATCTTGGTTCGGTTTAGAATTTAGCCATTAATTGTATTGTTGCCCCTCTTTATTTCATGATGATTCCTTTTTCTCTTTCTGCTCTTCAGATTTTCTTTGTCTTGGCTTGTAGTGGTTTGACTGTGAAATATATTGTATTTATTCTCTTTAGGGTTTGTTCAGCTGCTTTTATGGATAGTTAAGTTTTTCATCAAATTTGGGAAGCTTATGATTTCAGTCTTCTATTGAAATTCTGTATTTGTTGGTTCATTGTGCTTAAATTAAACAAGGTTTCCTTTAATTCTATGAATGTATTTATGATTGCTCTGAATATATTTAGAATCCTAGCTGCTTCAAAAGACTTTGTATGTGAATTCCAACATCTGAGAACAGGGACAGTATACCGGTTTTTTTCCTCTTGAGTATATATCATACTCTCCTTTTTTTTTTTTTTTTTTTTTTTTTTTATTTTTTTTTTTTTTTTTTTCTTTTTTTTTTTTTTTCTTTTTTTTTTTTTTTTCTTACCTCTTCTTTGTGTTTAGTTGAAGCCTACTTTAGCTACCCTGAGTCTGACTTTTACCCCTGAGAGGTTGTGGTGGCATCTTGTCTGTTTAGTAATTTCCTGGGTCTAAGTCTGTGAAATCTGGTTCCCATACAGTGTGTGTGGCCTCTGCTGTATTTGCTCAATTCTTCTTCTTTTCCTTTTTTTTCTTACTGCTATAGTAATGAGGATTTGTATGTGTTTCTTTTAAATAATTTTTGGTTGTCTCTTCCTTATTTTTTTTTCCCTGAATCATTAGGGGCAGGCAGTGTTTCTTCATCACTTTGTGGTCATCTGAAGATTGGGCACAATTTATGCTCAGACACCTGCCTTCTTCTGCTGCTGGTTCAGTGGTATGAGGAGGTGCATTTTATATTCGGGCCGTTGTCGGGTTCTCCCTGGCACTTGTGCTCTACTGGATCCTTTGCCATCTCTGTGCAAGGGCACAGACTCAGCCAATTATATACTTTTCCTTACGGCTGATCTCACCTGCATTGGTAGTGCCATTGGGCGTGGGCATTGCTTCCTTCTACAAGTGACTGAGCCCCTTCCACCTCACTGCCAAGCCTCACAGCCTGCCCCCCTCTCCAGCCTGCCATAAGACCTTCGTGTGTCTGGAGCTATGAGGTAGAAGAGGTGAAAGTGGCCCCCAGTAAAAGAGCTATAGACTCCCACTCTTCCTACCAGAAGTTCAGTTTTTCAAGGTTTACTAATACTAGTAGACCTTTGGTCAACTCCCTGAGCTCTGAAATGGTCACTTTGTTAATTTGTCCAGCTTTAAAGTTGCTTTTTGGGGAAGAAATTTGCCCACCTCCTGATTTGGCTTTAGCCAGAAGTCTCCCACCTCATTTAATTCCAGGATATCTACCAGCTCTGGTTTCTTGCCTAAAATGTCGGTGTGATTACCACGTGTTTATTCCAAGTGATCTATAAATCGTTTTTTGTGATCCAAGGGACATCCCATTGGCTTTTCACTGGAATGATGTAACAGATTAATTATAGATCATATTTGTAAAGCTTTGTAGCAGTTCTGTTACAGATGGGGGAACAATCTACTATGGTGTGTTTGTATGATTTAAATGGGGATATAAAAATAGTTTAAGGTAAGCAAATGCATTCATGTGTATTTTATCAATATGTGTTATGCAAAATCCCAGTGAAGGTTGGAAAGCCATACATGGCACAACATTAATGCTTAAACAAGTTCATAGATAACTTTCAGTGAACCGAGAAACCAATTGTTGCCAGTATTATTAGACATACCGTAGATGGTTGAGACTTGTCCGTAAAGCTGGAAGTAAATTACAAGCAATAAACATTGAAAGTTGGCTTTAAGACATTTAAGGTTGGGCATGGTGGCTCATGCCTATAATTCAGGCACTTTTGGAGGCTGAGACAGGTTGATTACCTGAGGTCAGGAGTTCAAGACCAGCCTGCCAACATCATGAAACCCTGTCTCTACTAAAAAATACAAAAATTAGCTGGGCAGGGCCGGGCGCGGTGGCTCAAGCCTGTAATCCCAGCACTTTGGGAGGCCGAGGCAGGTGGATCACGAGGTCAAGAGATCGAGACCATCCTGGTCAACATGGTGAAACCCCGTCTCTACTAAAAATACAAAAAAAAATTAGCTGGGCATGGTGGCGCGTGCCTGTAATCCCAGCTACTCAGGAGGCTGAGGCAGGAGAATTATCTGAACCCAGGAGGAGGAGGTTGCGGTGAGCCGAGATCGCGCCATTGCATTCCAGCCTGGGTAACAAGAGTGAAACTCTGTCTCAAAAAAAAAAAAAAAAAAAAATTAGCTGGGCATGGTCGCAGGCTCTAAGATATTTAATATGTAGGAAATCCAAGAGAATTAACTGAAAAACTGCTTTAGTAGGTTAGCAGAGAATAAATCTGTAATGTTCATTGTGTAATAGGGGTAGGAGGGATATGGAATCTACTTCTAATTAGTAACAAAAGTACAAAATACCCTGAGACAGCCTTACGAAGAGGTGTTGGGGTGGGGTGCGGTGGCTCACACCTATAATCCCAGCAGTTTGGGAGGCTGAGGCAGGCAGATTCTTGAGCTCAGGAATTTGAGACCAGCCTGGGCAACGTAGTGAGTCCCTGCCTTGACCAAAAATATAAAAACATTTAGCTGAGTGTGGCAGTGCACACCTGTGGTCCCAGCTACTCGAGAGGCTGAGGTGGGAGGATCGCTTGAGTCCAGGAGGTAGAGGTGGCAGTGAGCTGAGATAGTGCCACTGCACTCTAGCCTGAGTGACAGCAAGACCCTATGTGTCCCCCAAAACAACGACAAAAAACCGATTTACTGAACATTAAAAGATGTAGCGTGTGTGGTGGCATTTGCCTGTAGTCTCAGCTACTGGGAGAGGCAAGAGGATTGCTTGAGCCAGGAGTTTGAGCCCGGACAACATAGCAAGACCCCATATCTACAAAAATTTTAAAAATTTGAGTTCGGAATGGTGGAGCATATCTGTATTTCTAGCTACTGGGGAGGCTGAGGCAGGAGGATCACTTGAACCCAGGAGTTTGAAGCCATCTGGGCAACATAGTGAGACTCCCGTATATTTTTAAAAAATAATAAATAATTTAAAAGGAAGATGTAAATAACAAACATCACATATTCCAGGATAGGTAGAGGAGGTGAGGGTTGCTAGAAGATCACTTGCTTCTAAAATGACGTTCTTTCCATGGGAGCCCCATCCCCCCTCTGTGGGGGATGAACTGAAATGACACAGGCTTGTCTCTTGGTAGGAGGAGGAGGAGGAGCAGCCACAGGCAGCGCAGCCTCCCACCCTGCCCGTGGAGGAGAAGAAGAAGATTCCAGATCCAGACAGTGACGACGTCTCTGAGGTGGACGCAAGGCACATCATTGAGTAAGGGGTCGCAACACGCTCTGTTCTGTGCCAGCTTCCTGTGAGGTGGCGCTGGTGGGAGTGGCTAGAATCCCAGCCTGTCACTAGATGACATTCAGCACTGTCCAGCCAGCTTGCCACTGTGGAACCACAGAGACCAAATTTGTTTACTTCACATTTTATGTATTTGATAGGGATTTAATAGAACAAATGCATTCACAGGGTTCACCATATGCTTATGAGGTACAGTTGGGTGTGCGGCAGAAGCCCTCCCCACCCCCCAGTTCCCTCCCTGTCCACTGCCCTTTCTGGGGAAACTTTTGAGCCTCGTGTGTCATCTTCCAGAGATGCTCTCTGCATTAGCAAGCAAAATGTGCATATTTTTGTCTTTATTTTTTATCTTTATTTTTTTTTGAGACGAGGTCTCATTCTGTTACCCAAGCTGGAGTGCAATGGCACAATCTCGGCTCACTGCAACCTCCAGAGGTTCAAGTAATTCTCCTGCCTCAACATACCGAGTAGGTGGGATTACAGATATGCGCCATCACACCCAGCTAATATTTTTTTTTTTAAATGAAGTTTCGCTCTTGTTGCCCAGTCTGGAGTGCAATAGCGTGATCTTGGCTCACTGCAACCTCCGCCTCCCAGGTTCAAGCGATTCTCCTGCCTCAGCCTCCTGAGTAGCTAGGATTACAGGCATGCGCCTCCATGCCCGGCTAATTTTGTATTTTTAGTACAGACGCGGTTTCTCCATGTTCGTCAGGGTAGGTAGTCTCCAACTCCTGACCTCAGGTGATCTGCCCGCCCCGACCTCCCAAAATGCTGGGATTACAGGCATGAGCCACCACGCCTGACCACGCAGCTAAGTTTTTGTGTTTTTTTTTTTTTGAAATGGAGTCTTGCTCTGTTTTCAGGCTGTTATGCAGTGGCGCGATCTTGGCTCACTCTAACCTCTGCCTCCCAGGTTGAAGCGATTTTCCTGCCTCAGCCTCCCGAGTTGCTGGGACTACGTGTGTGCGCCACCACACGCAGCTAATTTTTGTATTTTTAGTAGAGACAGGGTTTCACCGTGTTGTAAATATGGTCTCAATCTTTTTGACCTCGTCATCTGCCTGCCTCCGCCTCCCAAAGTGCTGGGATTACAGGCTTGGGCTACCACGCCTGGCAATTTTTTGTATTTTTAGTACAGATAGGGTCTCACTGTGTTAGCCAGGATAATCTTGATCTCTTGACCTTGTGATCCACCCACATCAGCCTCCCAAAGTGCTGGGATTACAGGTGTGAGCCACTGTGCCTGTCCATTTTTTGTATTTTTAGTAGAGATGGGGTTTCAATATGTTGCCCAGGATGGTTTTGATCTCCTGACCTCATGATCTGCCTACTTGGCCTCCAAAAGTGCTGGGATTACAGGCGTGAGCCACCATGCCCAGCCATTTTTGTGTTTTCATTTGCATACATGTCTCCAGTGTACACTGGTGTGCACCTTGCTATTTTCACTGAACCTTCCCTCTCAGAGTTGATCCTGTGTTCGTGCAGAGTGCTCCCAGTCTGGTCCTCAGTGGGCAGAGTCTTACCGCGTTACGTTATATTCTCATTTTCTTAGCCTGTCCTTTGGTGGCAGGCATTTAGCTTATATTTCTCATCTTTTGCTCCTGAAACATATCACAGTTAACACACTAATCTCATTATTGTTTATGCTAAGGAATTAATGGATTTTGTTAAAAAGCAGGAGTGGGCCGGGTGCCGTGGCTCACGCCTGTAATCCCAGCATTTTTGGAGGCTGCTGCAGGCAGATCACTTAAGATCAGGAGTGGCCAACATGTAGACCAGTCGGCCAAACATGGTGAAACCTCATCTCTACTAAAAATCCAAAAATTAGCTGGGTGTGGTGGCAGGCACCTGTAATCCCAGCTATTTGGGAGGCTGAGGCAGGAGAATTTCTTGAACTGGGGAGGACGAGGCTGCAGTGAGCCGAGATCACACCATTGCACTCTAGCCTGGGCAACAGACAGAGAGTCTATCTCAAAAAAAAAAAGCAAGAAATTATTGAGGGTATTACATACACTATAGATATGGAGGCAAACACCAGAATGAAGATAGAATACTTGGAAATCAACAGAAGAAATATACAGGGGAACAACCCACTAAGCTAAGAAAACGGAAGCCACTATGAACGGTTTGTAAGAGATAAGAACAGAAAGCATGGCATAAAATAAAAGATAAAAGTTAGGTCATAGATATCTAACATAGCAATAAATGTAGGTAGTCGAAAGTCACTTTTTTTGTTTTTTTTGAGACAGAGTTTTGCTCTGTCGCCAGATTGGAGTGCAGTGGCACGATCTTGGCTCACTGTAACCTCTGCCTCCTGGCTTCAAGAGATTCTCCTGCCTTAGCCTCCCGAGTAGCTGGAACTACAGGTGTACGCCACCGTGCCCAGCTAACTTTTGTATTTTTAGTAGAGATGGGGTTTCACCATGTTGGCCATGATGGTCTCAATCTCTTAACCTCTGATCTGCCTGCCTCTGCCTTCCAAAGTGCAGGGATTACAGGCATGAGCCACCTCACTTGGCCAAAGTCACTTTTTAAAAGAAAAATGTGGCCGGGCATGGTGGCTCACGCTTATAATCCAAGCACTTTGAAGGCCAAGGCAGGCGGATCACCGGAGGTCAGGAGTTCAAGACCAGCCTGACCAACATGGCGAAACCCCGTCTTTTAAAAATAATAATAGTAATAAAAGAAAAGAAAAATGTTCAGATTAGACCACAGAATTGCCCACATTTAACAATTCTGGTTTTGTATGTATCTGCTCAGTCTGTGTTTCTTTTCACCTTTAGGCTTGTGAATTGTTATTAGAAAGGTGGGTTATATGATCAGCATCTGGCTAGATGCAGTGTCTCTTTCTGTGCTGTAACAAGTGACAGCATTTTTTTTTTTTTTGAGACAGAGTCTTGCTCTTTCCTTCAGGCTGGAGTACAGTGGCTCGATCTCAGCTTACTGCAGCCTCTGCCTCACAGGCTCAAGTGATTCTTGTACCTCAGCCTCCTGAGTAGCAGGGATTACAGGCATGCACCACCATATCCACCTAATTTTTTTTTTTTTTTT